GTAGAAATAAATCTCTGCATTTAGATCGCTGGATGGAAAAGGGCATTTGGTCAATTTGGTCATTAAGACAGAAAAAAGAAAGAAAATAACAAACGCTCAGTTCAGGGGTTTTATAAAGAAAGTGAGTCAGGACGATTGTTTAACTGAACGATTGTTGATCTCTAATTGAAAAAACACTTTGATATTAAAATGGAAACGTTTTCTATTTTTGAATATATATATATATTTATTCTTTTTTTAATTAAAAAGTCAATGTACAACACGGTTGCATATACATTTTATTTTATTTTAGGGTTAAATTCTGTTTAAAGTAACAGATTATAATTAAAAATGTCTCTGGACCTTTACTGGTTGATTATTTACTTTATTTGGACCCCGCTGATTAATAATTAAACTACATCCATAATGAAATCTGCAGCGATGCTGCAAAATGTGAGAAAATTCCAGTGCATGAACCTTTAAAAGGCTATAATAAAAAAAAAAGAAAACATTTCTGCTTCTCCATTACAAGTCAAAAATAAAGCTCCCTCTAGTGGTGAAACCCATAGAAATACAGGTCAGACTGGTTTTTCATCTCTTCTGAACTTTCAAGTTGAGGTTTCTTTTAAAATTCCCATAGACTCTACGACTGATAAGGGCACACAGCAACGTGCTCTTCTGGAGGGATTTTCTACACTATTCTAGATCTTCAGTTATATTGGAAGTTCAAAAGGTGAGAAATAATGGCTGAAAAATCTTCTATCTGTCTATATTTTTAATCATTCTTTAGAGCTTTTATTTTTTCTGATCATTGAAGGCATTGATTTAACCTGTGCTGAAAAACATCCCTATGAAAAGTTTATAATTCTCTAATAATTTATTTGTTTTACTGTTGATTATTTATGCTTTCATAGTTACAAAACCGAAGCAGTTTTTTATTAGTTATATATTAACTATTTATGAGTCACTAGAGAAAAATGCAGGAAGTGTCAAACCAGGAAAGGAGCAGACCGGTTTGAGTTTATTTTAAGCAACGCAATCTCCTCTTCACTGTTGAATAATAGTTTGGGTAAATAATCTCGTTGAGGTTGTACTGCTGACCTCTGATTCCCAGCTAGAAGTTCTGAACACCGACTCTCCAGAGCGGCTGTCTCTGTGAAACCTCTGCTATGGAGCAGCCAGGGCCAACAGGGCAACCTGAGGCCCAGGCCAAACCTCAGAGGTAAGATATTCCTTTCTAACTGTCAACAGTAGATATTTTTCACATCACAGCTCAGGACCCACTTTATTTAGCCAGCATTATTTCATATCCTCAGCTCTGCGTCCTCTGACCAGGTGTCTGTCAGAAGTCTTCGACTTTTATTTGAACGTCCTGCTGATGGAAGGTGATTTCTTTCTATGTTTCTATGTTTTACATTCCTAAAGATATGCAGGGTGGTTTTTCTATTTATTAGGGTTGCCAACTGTCCCTTGAAAAACTGAATCGTTCTGTATTTAGAAATAGAAGTACCTGTCCCGTATTTAGTAGAGAAGGAACGCACTTTATCCCATCTTATCAGCAGTCGAGTTGTAAAAATAAAAATGAGGGGGATTTTTTTTTGGAAGCATACATAGCCTAATTAATGTATTCTATTGACCTAAAGCAACATGCACAGTCTGGCGCTAATTCAAATCATGTTATCTGAAGTTGCTTTACAGACAATTCTATGGATGTGGTGTTTTATATATATATATATGGATTTTTCTGTTCTGACGCAGTGAAACTGAACTTGTTCAGATCATATTGCACATCACTGTATACGGCACATTTGTGGTGCAACTTTAAAATAGCCAGTCTGCATAAGTTGAAGGTGGCTTATAATGATGCACTAAGACTTTTGTTAAATAAGCCCAGATGGACCAGTGCCAGTGAATT